CTTCAGTTGCACTCACTTCAGTTGCACTCACTTCAGTTGCACTCACTTCAGTTACACTCACTTCAGTTGCACTCACTTCAGTTGCACTCACTTCAGTTACATTACATAATTATTTTCACTTGTGTAAGTTTCCTTTTCTGCTCAGGGTAACCATTTTAGTTCACTTTGAACATTCATTTAAGTCATAAAGAAAATAGGAGTTGAGATTCGTTGATGAGGTTCCCAAGTATCCAAGCTAGTGAATCAACCTCAAAAAGGGGATTTTGTCAACAATATTCGCCTCTCAAGACTGGTGCGCAATTCCAAATTTGAAATATGACAAGAAAATAAAAGTTATTAAATCTGTTGTAGTTAAACATTGGCACGGCATATGAATAGCACCTTCACGGAAGCCCTATTTTCAATACGTATAAGTTTAATTTAATGAACCATTGTGAGACAACATATCAACTGTACCGTTTTCCACTTTAAAGCTATAAATTACGAACAAAAACTGTAATCATGTAGGACTGCCTTGCGAACAACATGGTAGCCTTGTTATCGGTAATATTATTTGTGAATTTTCCCATGCTATATATATGTGAATTTGTGTAGAGCTTGCATTTAAGTGTCTGTGATAAATTTAATATTATATTTTTTCTTAAAAAGATTTCTCTAAATTAAGCTCATCCTTCAAGTTTTCACGTGCATCAGCATTACTACAAGAGTTAATATAAGCAAGCAACGCAAATTATTCAGCAACTCCGCCAGCGCGCACAGTTCATCTCGAATTCGATTCTCTTCTGTAACCCTCAACGTCGAGACGCATATGGGTGCAAAAATATTAGAAAGTAGTAATTAGGATATATGCAGTGAATGAGATTTCAAATTTTGGAGTCCGTACGGCACTCTCTGAACACATCGAAAATATCACTGTCCGAGATGATAATTGCAGCAGTAACTAAATTATTTTTAAGCCTTCTGCGTTTCCCAGCGAGGTGACTTTCACGATTCTAATTAGTGGAAAGACATACGTGTTGTTTGATAATGTAATAAAAAACTCAACATATTAGAATACAATATCCAGTATCTCGAGGGATTCAGAAACAATTTTAATTTGGGGAGAGCCATATGCCGGGAGATCCTGCACCACTAACCTCTTGTCGACTCTGAACGAATGGACTCGCCTGCTGGACGAAAGGGAGCCAGTAGACGCAGTAAACCTCGATTTTGCCAAGGCATTTGACAGTGTCCCACATGAGCGGTTGTTGCGTAAATTGAAGTCTTTGGGAATTGAGAGTAATGTACTCAAACAGATCAGAGATTTTCTAGTAGGGAGGCGACAACGTGTCAGTATTGATGGGTCCGTATCAGACTGGGCTTCTGTGCGCAGCGGCGTGCCACAAGGAAGCGTTCTCGGGCCTATTCTATTCGTTGCGTTTATAAACGATCTGCCAGAAGCTGTGTCTAGCGTTTGCCCGATGTATGCTGACGACACAAAAATTTATAATATGGTGAAGAATACGTCGCAAAAAGTACAGTTGCAAGGTGATCTTGACAGGCTGGTTGACTGGGCTGATAAGTGGCAGCTGCGTTTTAACGCTGACAAATGTAAAGTTATTCACCTTGGCAAGAATAATGAACAGCAAGATTACAATATGAGAAGACACGGTTGCAACGACAGAGTGACGATGTCGAAGTCGACAACGGAAAAGGATTTAGGAGTTAATATCGACAATGAGTTGAAATTTTCTAAGCATATTGGAGGTCAAGTTAATAAAGCCAATCAACTTAATAAATCTGCTTCCTATAGTTGATGGCGGCCAAGGTAGTGCGGCTATTGCGTAATAGCTTAGTTAACGCTCAAAACACGCGCTTGTTCAGTCACAGCGCATAGTAATTTGGATACCAAATGCGGTAGTATATAAAATGTAAGCTTAAATAACTTAACCTGCGCAATATGTCTATCGAATATAACCTTAACGCAACAATAATCAGTTGGGTGAAAAGAAAATTAGCGAGTAATATAGAAAACAAAATAGAGCGACAAGGCCACAGGGTGGTGCTGAATAGATAGATCTACATTAGATAGTATATCATAGACGCGTTATCTTGTCATTATCTATAATGATAACTCGCGAAGGCGATGTCAAAGTTACTCACTCTTTCGGGAATTGACGTGTTAGCTAAAATTTCTCAGATTCTTTAGAATCTCGAAATCTCTCGTAAGCAGTAATTAGTCCATTTCTGTACCTTATTTCTTACTCGAAATTTAACTTTGTGAAACTTTAATAGTGACGGTTATAAATTAATAGTGATGATAATTTTGTCGAAAGGCATTATATTACCACTTAACCAAGCCTTAGTTTCTTAGAATAATATTGCATCCTATACAATTATATATGAAATACTTCTAAAAATATTGATGACACGGTCTAGTTTTTTAATATTACCTTCCGATATGAAGTGGAACACTTCAGTGCAGGTAGAAAAGGTGGAAATTTTTCACGATTTTTTTTCATTCAAATTGTTAATTTAAAGATAGGATAATAATAACAAGCAGTAAAAACGAATGCAAAATTATTCAAATTCCGTATTCATGGAGACATAAAAACTTGACTATTCCAGAATTATCCCCATTTTATTTTGGAGCTTTCAACGATTAGAAATTAAATTATGACTAAAATAAATAACACAATAATTTAATCAATAACTCAATTAGTGATATATAAACATCCAATAATTTATTTGTGCTTCACCAAAGAACGCTCCTCCTGTGGTTGGCTGATGTGTTGTTAAAGAAGTACAAAATTACTTTATTCACTATTAACAAAACTGTATTGCGAAGATATAATTCCTTTCTCCCCACAAAATTAATAGGAAGACTTAAATCCATGTGCAGAAAGAGCGTTAAACCAATAAAGCCATGTTGGTTGGTGTGGTTAATTTGTTTTTCAGCCTTCATTCCTTCCTCAGCTACACGTTACGAGCCTCTGTCAACAGCGCCTCATAAGTGCAGTGAGCTTGACTCGACGCTGCCGCGTCTCCCACGTTAAGAAGTCCTTACGATTTAACCCGCAGCTACACGTTACGAGCCTCTGCCAACAGCGCCTCATAAGTGCAGTGAGCTTGACTCGACGCCGCCGAGTCTCCCACGTTAAGAAGGTCCTTACGATTTAACTTGGCATACATGAAAGTGCTATGTCCACAGCCTATCGAATGAGACATTAAGCCCTACGTTCGCGCAATAGTGACATTCTAATTCTCATGAGTAATTTGGAAAAACTATATTGCTTCCTAACAATTGTTGTTTTTCCCGATGAGAAAAAACAACGAAGTAAACATCAAACTTCCATAATTTATCATATGCATTCTAGACTTAGATTTTTAATTCGAAAATTTTCAATTGATTAACTTTATCTTGGATTTTGTTCCTTGCAAAATTGCAAAGCAAAATTTATTGCATGTATATGCATTGACCCACGTACAAACTCCGTCAGTTGATGCTCTGACTTCGGGGCCAATGCTAGTCATCAACGAAATCTATATGTGAACTCGTCGGTTTATGTTTTCATGTATTGCATTCTAATATGTATATTTATTTAGGTTACATTATCAAACAAAAACACGTATGTCTTTCCACCAATTAGAATCATGAAAAAAGCCATGATGGACAACTCGGAAGCCTCAAAAACCATTTAGTTACTGCTGCAATTACCATCTCGCACAGTGATACATTCCGTGTGTCTGTAAGTGCAGTATGGAATCCAGAATTTCATATTAATTCATGTTCTTGCTTTCGGTTCTTAAACGGACTAACATTTTTGGACCCATATACGTTTCGACGCAAAGGGTTATAATAATGAATCGAAAGATAGATGATCGGTATGCACAGGTAATATTGCCATATCTCGCATTGAATGCTAATATTAGCACTGTTTAATGGAGGCTTTCCACAATTTTTCAAACCATAAGGGAATTTTGCAACAGATTTTTATAACAAGGTCGCAATGTTATAAAACATTAGTTAATAATTTCGATAATTCTGCTTGAAAAAACCTAATAATTTTGACTTTTGCAATTTCCGGTGAATAAATACTCCTAATAATTGGGGTCGATAAAACGTAATACCATTACAATGTCCTGCTCCATGAGAGGAAGTGGAAGGAAGTGGAGGGAGAGGGGCTTCTACAGCACATCGGAACGTGTTTGTTTATACACTTAATATAAGTTAATTGTTCTGGAGGCCGCGTTATAAATTAAGCGGCCGTGGGAAGTATGCGCAGTGAGACGGCTTCATCAGCGGACTAGTGCGCATGACGGTCTTAACTAATGCGTTAACATTATTGATTCGTGTACAATAAACATACTTCGAAAAAAATACAAAGCCCAGTTATATTGAATGAATACATGGGTGTGGGCGCTGTATCGAGGAACTGTGACACGGCTAACAATTTCAAGTTCATTGTATACGGCGGAGGCACCTGGTTAGCCATGCATGAAAGGAACTGTAAAATTTTGCACAGATATTATAACGCCGCAGAGCATATCCCCAACCCCATTACCCAACACTTGATTTACAAGTCCTGACCGAAAGACGAGGAAGTGACATCGGTTGATAAAAATCGCATCAATGTTCCCATAGACGTCACCTCTTTGCGCAAAAATTTACTTTACAATATGCACCCAAATCTCTCTGAACAAAATATAACAACGTACTCCATGTCACTACGCGGGCGGGAAAACACCTTTGGCTGCATTGATTTCCAGCTAATATATCAATCAATATTGACAGTATTCTTATGGTGCGGCTGTTTGGATTGGCAAATTAAAGCCTTGCAACTGGAAATTATATATATGTTTTATCTGGTACTTAAATTAAGTTAAAACTCATTTTATATTATTTCAAACCTTTGTTCATGAC